CATTCTTCAGAATACTATGGAAGATGCAATGTGATCATATAAAAAAAGTAGAGAGGACAAGTTATTACCTTGTTCACTGTCCTCTCCTTCAGTGAAATCGTCAAGGTTTAGTTTCTTAAGACTACTTGTAGCAGCTGCATATATAGTAGTGTGATTAAAGAGAAGAAATGATACAAGAACCTTCAAATTAATTAATCAACAATTTGTCGATAAGTACCTTCAAATTCACGCTCAATCTCATCCAACATACTTTGCCTCGTTGCAGCTAAATAGTAACAAAGACATAAAAACATGTCTGAGAATAACACTGCAAGTAAGGTTAATCAACCGAAAAAAAACGTCGAATGGCAAGCTTTTCTTACTATGGTCTCCCTCATCTTTGTTCTCGGAGAGATCATCAAGTTGTTTAAAACTACTTGTAACAGCTGCAAAGATAGTAAAAACAAACTCTTAGATAAGTTCTTGAACAAAGAAAGAGTAAAATCTTGTCTTTACGCATGATGATTCGTAAGTCGATCTACCTTCAAACTCTTTTTCAATTGCATCTAACATACTTTGTCTCTGGGAATCTGTAATTAAGACAATATCATTTATCTATATCAGAAAACTGAATGAGGGATCAAAAAGTATCAAAGTAAAAGGCAACAATTTCTTACCTTGTTCTTTATCATCATCTTTGACAGTGTGAGCATTAATCTTTAGCTGTTTAAGACCACTTGTAGCAGCTGCAAGTAGAAGATGAAACATAATCTTTAATCTAAAAAGTCTCACCACAAAGAATGTAAAACCAATGAGTATGTCAAAAGATACCTTCAAACTCGCGTTCGATCTCATCGAGCATACTATTTCTCTTTGTAGCTATAACAAGACAATAAGATCTATAGTTTGAGTCCTGTAATTGAGATTTAAGGGATGATATATTAAAGTAAAATGGAATATAAAATATTACGGTGTGATTCATCATCTGTGCTTGATGTGGAATGCCTTAGTTCTTCAAGACCTTTTGTAGCTTCTGAAAACAGAGGTCAAAAACAGAGTCTAAGTTGGTTTTGTAATAGATACCTAATTAAAAGACAAGATTCTGGTTATATATTATAAGATACCTGCAAACTCTCTTTCAATCTCTTCCAACATCTTTTCTCTCCTTGCAGCTATAACAAACACACAAATTCTGACTCAAGAATACTGTAAATAATAACAATGCATCAAACAAAGTAACAATGGGAGAGTTTTATACCGTGTTCTTCATCGTTGATCCCGGTTAGATCATCAGCCTTAAGTTGTTCAAGACCTTTTGTAGCAGCTTCAAGTAGGAAATGAAACAGAAGAAACAAACCGATTGTCAGTTCAGTTTCAAGAACGTAATTCAAACCGTAGAGATATACCTTCGAAATCACGTTCAATCTCATCTAGCATGCTTTGTCTCATTGCAGCTGTAAAAAAAAAAAAGAATGAAGAAAACTTAAAGACTTAGAATATCAATGAAGAACCAAAATGAGATAGTAACTAACATTGTTCATCATCTTTTCCTTGAGTTGAATCATCAATCTTTAGTTGTTCAAATCCAGATACAGCAGCTGCAAAGTAATTAAGCGATGATTAAAGAAACAAGAACCAAAAAATCTTTATTAGTAAGAATCTATCGACCAAAGTTTTTTCAAGAACTAATGTAAAGCTAGATATAAACATCGAAAGGTACCTTCAAACTCGCGTTCGATGTCTTCCAACATTTTCTGTCTCTGAGCAACTGAAAAACAACAAATACAACACAAGAGCAATCTCTTAGCAAAAAGGATCAGACTAAATAGAAAGAGTTCTGTTTTTGGTTTAACCTAGTTCTTGATCATCCTTAGATTCATCAACTTTGTTGGCACCATCAGATTCAGCTTTTTTAAGTTCATTCATATGTGCTGTAATCAAGAAACATACAAGAAAACAACAAACTCTTCATGTCAATATTTTGTCCAATAAGCTTCTTAAGAAAACATATAACAAAACAGACTTACCTTCAAACTCATTTTCGATATGATCCAACATACTCGAACTTGTACTGACTTCATCAGTAACAGCTCCTAACTATAAATTCAAAGTAAAAAAAAGAAACCAGAGATTAACTAAAGTACACTCTTGATCATACTAAACCAAAATCCAAACCCAAGAAAGCTAACTAATAAACAGTCATTGACCTGAGACGAGGTATCAACAGAAGAATCTTTAAGAGTTTCCACAGGTTCTTTTTCCGACAGAGACAGAGAGATAGTGTTGTTATCAGTTACTGTACTGTTTTTCTGATTTTCACTCAGTTTCTTTGCAGCTGATTCCACACACAAACACAGAGATTAATTGCAGAACAAAGGAAAGAAACCAGAGAGAGAGGTCTTACATCGATCCTCTTCTTCATTGCCTTGGAGAGAATTGATATTAGCTGCAACCAAAAATCATTTTCATTTAAAAGATTTGGATTCATATATGCTTCAAGTACTAAATCTTAAGACATACCTTGATATTCTTGCTCGAATAGATCTAAACTCAAACCTCTACTTCCTTCATCCTAAAGCCAAAAGTCAAATGCGTTTGAATATCAATTGATATAATTATTTCGTTTATTGTAAAATATATATATGTGTTTTTTTTTTAATTACCTGGCAAGAAACTTCATAGAAGCTTGAGAGAACAAGAAACAGAGACAAACCCAGAGCTAAGAACTTGGTTCCCATGCTGGAGATTGTTGATTCACAAAGATCAAAGTACACTGTCTTGAAGCTTTGAGGAAACATACAACAAGACTTTAAAATAAAGCTAAAGTTAACAACTCAACGTGGATTTTTTGTTTAATAATAGAAATTCACGTGGTTTTTATTTTTATATAATTAATTCTCAAGTTCGTGCTTAAGTGGTTACAAACAACAATTCAACGGTTTTTTTTTTGTTGCCTTTTAGTACTTTCTGTGAATCGTTCATTAATTTATTATTATCCTTAATTTTCTTACAATGGGCATGATTATCCACTCGTTATCAATACAACTAGGCCAATACCCGCGTATAAGCGCAAGTTTTTAATAAAAAAATTAGAGTTGAGAAAAATATCGTCTTCTTTTCGTTTATCGTGTCTATTTTATTCTTATCTCGAATTTCCATTCTAAACAAAAATGCATTTTCGCATTAGCTTTAAAAAATATAATTTTTGTTTGGAAACGAAACAAAGAAAAAATTTGAAAAATCTCATTTGGGATCAATTTTATAACTAATATTATAGAAATGATTGAACATTTATCTTATTTTATTTTGTCTAGTCATCATGCAAATTAAAAAATTACATTGTCATGAAACAAAATACCAATTAGCCAATGCAGAAGATAAATACAATTTGTGTAGTAATCAAAATTACAATGTGTAAAATTTTACGATTATCACATTTGTTTATATTTTGATTTTTTTTTCGTTCCCTCCTATCCTAATTTAGTAACGAACTTTAAATGAGACATAATGTAATAACTATTTTCGTTCTCCGATTTTCGTCACGTTTCCGTATCCGCAAAATCCCATCATCGTTTCATACATCTATAAAGATACTAAAAAATTTGTTTATAACTAATATGAACTTGATAGTTAATAGAATAACAAAATAATATAACCAATTGGAGAATATATTTCACAAGAAAATAAATAGGTAAACTAAGTTCAACCACTTATTTTTAATATTTAGATAAGAAGTTGATAAGGTCGTCCTAGCCGCTCTCTCTAGTGCAAGTATCGAGACAACAAAAAAAACTTCTTCTTCCGGCGCCGGTGGAGCCTTGGCTCATCGGCTCGGACGGTGGTCCGTTATTGTTGCTCCTCTGTCATTTTGTGTTTGTTCGTAGGGTCTCTCTTGGCTCAGTGCTCCAAAACTCACCGCTCACGGGTTTCTGCCGCTGTCCACCACCATCTCGAAAGGATGCAGATTCTTTATTGACCTTGCTCCACCACCGTCCATACTCCCTTCTCGGTTGAAATAACCGAAGACCTATCTCCCTCCTACTTCCATCAATCCTCAATAAAAAACTTCATCGTGCCCTCGTCTGCACTCAGAACCTCATAAGCCCGTTGATTCTGGTTTCGACAGCTTGGACTTTTCGGATCGAGTCACGGAGAGATCGGGGACGAGAGCTGCTACAACCAGATCTGCTGCTTTCGCCTCTCTTGCTTTCACTCGCCGAGGCTTCTTGTAGATCCTTCGGCTCCTATAGGAAAAATCTGATCGAGCTGCTTCACCGACTCTCCACTCCGTCCTCCGGCCACGAGCAGAAAAATGAGATGGGCCGAGACTGGGTCTTATGCTTGATGGGTCAAGGCTGGGCCTCACTGTTGTTGATGGGCCGAGTGGGGTTCTTTATTTTACTAAGGCCCAACAGAGTTGAAAGACCCTTGCCTATGCCGTGTCTCTTCCCTACCTCATCGGAAATGGTGTTCGACGGTCCGGTGGTGCTCCGGCAAAGTGCCCACTACCATTCCGATAAACCTCCTCCGGCAGTATGAATCTGTGGGCTGGCCCAGTATAATATTTATGGAAAGAATCCAAATGCTGAAAAAGTTCTCAATCCCTTACCGGCATCTCTCCGGCCAATCCTCTCCGAAGGTAAAACTGCTTTAAAGTATCCAGAATTGGTCTCTGGATCAATGTGTTTTCTCACCGTCAAATGCGATGACGACATCGTTGATGACCAACCGAGAACCTACGCCGATTACAACAAACTAAAGTTGTTGACCGAGATGAAACCTTGCGGGTGGGCGTGGCCCATACAGCCTATGAAGGTGTATATTGATCTATATCTAAGAGTTTCAACACTCTCATCTGATGTTGAGCAAATTGGCTTCTCCTTGTTGAGAAAAACAAAGTTTTCTGGTTCTCAAACTTTGTAATTTCCTCTCTTTGGGAGAGATCTCATCCATACTCTTTCTCATGCGGGAAGAACCTGTCCTACCATTTCTCTCATGGAGAGTAAGAGTCTTCTCGGAACCAAAACCGAGTAATTCCTATCCGACTTGTATTCTTGTGTAGCGATCTCTAAGGGGAACCGACTTCGTCTTGATAAATTTCGGAGGAATGGGTAATCTTTTAAAGTCGCGAGTCAAAGCGACTATGTCTTCCGGCTTAGCCGTGAACTTTATACCGACACATCAAGATTGTTTATTTGATTCGCAGTCGTATAACTGTGTTGTTTTTATGCTTTATTTTCTTATGTTTTCTTGTATCGCATTATGATTCTGTGTAACTTCAAAGTTTAAGGAATGAAAAAGATGTTGAACAAAAAAAAAACTAAGTTCAGTCTTTCTATTATTTAGTTGTATTAAATTTATGTTTTTATGACTCTATATATTTATTATTATGTGTTCATAAAGTTTTAATTTATTTTATAATTACAAGGGACAATTGCAAAAATACCATTTTTGGTGTGCCATTTTTTTTAAAATATTACTAATTATGGATATTTAAAGCCTAAAAATCTTAAAATTCTAAACCTTAAAAAATGTTTTGACCCCTAACAAACCCTAAACCTCAAAATCAAACCCTAATACAACATATTTAACCCAAACATAAATAATATAATGAATAAATAATTTTTAAAAATGGTATTTTTGCAATGATTTTTAAAATGTGGCATTTTTTAAAAGTGAGACTTCAAAAGTGGCATTTTCAAAAAAATTATAATTATTAC